TTACGTTCTGCATTTCATTTCTCTCTGTAATGAAGTATTGAAGTTAACCAAAAACAGGTGGTGGTATTTTTACAAGCCAAGAATCTTTATGACATGTTTTAACTTTTACAAGTTAAAGTTTTGAATTGAACTGAAACATATTCCTATCCTGAATCTGAATCAATATCTACACTTTTTTGTGCAGTCTGAAATTAGACTTTTTGGGGGGCTTGATACTGAAACACTCAAGCAGCACTTTGGTAGGAAAATCTTAGAACTTGAGGAAGAGAAAAGAATCGTGCAGGTCTGAAGAACGTTCTTGAACTTGTATTAGAATGTCATGCTTTCATTTTTGTTGCTGATATTACGTAACCACAGCAAGAGAGAGACCGGTTGTTGGCTGAGGTTGAGAGCCTTGCTGCTAATTCTGATGGACAGGCGCAGAAAGTGCATGATATTCATTCACAAAAATTAAAATCCCTTGAAGCTCAGGTAATCCGCCGAAATATTTGAATATTCACATTGTTTTTAAAAGTTGCATTGACGATAAAAAGAATTTTTGTTGTATCAGATATCAGATCTGAAGAAGAAACAAGAAAGCCAGGTCCAACTTTTAAAGGAAAAACACAAAAGCGAGGAAGCCGCAAAGCGGCTACAAGCTGAAATACAATGTATTAAAGCTCAGAAGGTTCGTTCTGATTTGGTGTTTGACCAAGTTTTGTAAATGATCTGCAAAACAAGCTTGTAATAATTGGATGTGTCTTGCCTGTTTGTTTTTTATTCTGTAGGTTCAGTTGCAACATAAGATAAAACAAGAGGCGGAGCAATTTCGACTATGGAAAGCCTCTCGTGAAAAGGAATTGCTGCAGGTTCTTTGCTTTTAATAATAATAACAATAATAATAATAACAACAACAACAATAATAATAATAATAATAATAACAACAACAACAACAATAATAATAATAATAATAATAACAACAACAATAACAATAATAACAATAACAATAATAACAATAATAAGAAGAATAATAACAATAATAATAACAATAATAATAACAATAATAATAATAACAATAATAACAATAAGAATAACAACCACAATAATAATAATAACAACAACAACAATAATAACAATAATAACAATAATAATAATAATAATAATAATAATAATAATAATAATAATAATTTATTGCGCTGTTTTTGGAGCTCATGTCATTTGTTATTTCTTTTCTATTATGATTTTATCCTGTGCAGCTAAGGAAGGAGGGAAGGAGAAATGAGTATGAAAGGCATAAACTTGAATCTCTGAACCAGCGACAGAGACTGGTAAAAATTTAATTTTGCAATGCAACTGAACTGCATACCCTTTATTCTCTCTCTCTCTCTCTCTCTCTCTCTCTCTCTCTCTCTGTGCTCTATCTCTGTGTGTGTGTGTGTGTGTGTGTGTGTGCTGACTAGTAAAGTAATAAATCTTGGTAAAATAAGCTCAGTAGCTTTTTCTATTCATTAGCAGTTAGGAATCTTGCAAATTCATTATGATTATTCTTGCAGGTTCTCCAAAGAAAGACAGAGGAGGCCTCAATTGCTACTAAACGACTAAAGGAATTATTGGAATCTCGCAAGTCTACTGCTCGGGACAATTCAGGTAGATCTTTTTCTTGAAAATGTGCTCTTCTGATATTTCTGATTTCCTAATTGTCTTATTTCTTGCAGTCAATTCCAATGGACATACTCCAGCCGCCCAGGTAAATGATCTGAAATCTTTTATATTTTGTGCCGGCCAAATCGAAAACCTTTTCATAGATTGTTTAGTTTAGATTCCCAGTAACACTTATCGTGATGAAAGCAACAGTAGCCTCGTTCAAATTTTGAAAGAACTTTAGTGGTCAACAGATGTATTTAATCTTGTTTAGGATGGCTCTTATTCTAAATTTACCGAAGGAAGGTCGACTTAGTAGTTCTCTTGGACCAATCACAATTCAAATGTGGAATGCAAATGCCTAAATATATTATCGTTGTTATATCAGAACAGTTTCTGACATGTGTTTACATATGCAGAACAACGAGAAGTCCTTGCAGAGGTGGCTTGATCATGAACTGGAAGTCGTCGTGAATGTTCATGAAGTTCGTTTTGAATATGAGAAGCAAAATCAAGTGTATGTATCATCTCTCTCTCTCCCTCCCTCCCTCCCTCTCTAGGCTTCGACTGCCACGTTAATTAACTGGTATTTTTAATTTTTTTTCCTAGACGGACTGTCTTGGCAGAAGAGTTGGCCTTGTTAAAGCAAGTGGACCAGTTATCGTTGGAAGGGAATAGTCCCCCAAGAGGAAATAATGGATATTCCAGGTACAAATCTTGCTATTATCCACGTAAAAGTCTGATCATTTACTCACATGAATTTTATACATGCATAAATAATAGATGAAAACTATGAATTGTCATGGGCGATTATAATGATGCAATCTCCTATTCTTACATATATGTGTTTTTCTATCCAACTAGAGTATTGTCCCTGTCACCAGACTCGAGGAAGGCCAGAATAGAATCTGTTGAAAACATGCTGAGCATGTCTTCAAATGCACTCGTTTCCATGGCATCACAGCTTTCAGAGGCAGAAGAAAGAGAGCGTTCCTTGATTGGTCGTGGACGTTGGAACCAGTTGCGTTCAATGGGAGATGCTAAGTGCTTGCTTCAGTATATGTTTAATACCACTGCAGAAGCAAGGTGCTTACTGAAACTAGTTTAAAGAAAAAAAAATCTTATCCATCAATTTTGACTTGTACCTCTGGGGACAACCCAATGTCTTTTCTTCTTTTTTTCCATGAGACATGACAGGTCTCAAATATTGCCCGATGCATGTATTTTCGAGGGAAAAAATTGAAAATAATTGTTACCTACATGTCAACAGGTGTCAATTATGGGAGAAGAACATGGAAATTAAGGAAATGCAAGATCAACTAAATGAGCTGGTAACCTTACTACGACGAAGCGAAGCTCAGAGAAAGGAGCTTTTGAGGGAGCAAAAAGCAAAGGAGCAAGCTGTTGCCATTGCCTTGGCAAAATCAGATTCAGTAAGACAACATTCTGAAATCTTGTTTCCTATATTAGTTATATGATAGATTGTTCCTATTCTAAGCTTACAAAATACTTGGGAAAGCATACTTTTTGGTAGACCAACCACCAAATCCATTGGAAGATTTTCCATGTTTAACCTGAGTATGAACAACCTAAAGTTCACGAAGTGATTTATTGCAGCTAAAACGCTGGGTCTGTTTGGAATTTTTTTCACCTTGTTTTTAAAAAGGTTTCTTCACGTCTTTTGAGGCAAAAAAATGAAAATGGTCTCCAAACCACTTTTGGTTAGCAAATACTTTGAAAACGAGAGTGAAAACAAAAAACAGTGAAAACAAAAGAAAATTAACCAAACTCAATATTGAAAACAATCTCAACACCATTCCCTAAAAGTTCTCATTTCCATTTTCATACTAAAAATGAAAACATTTGAAAACACTACCAAACGGGCCCATTACTTTTCTGTTTCCCTTATCCACCATAGCCTTTTCAAGCTCTAGAAATCCAAGTGGCTACCCACATTGTCAGTAAACAGAATATTAAATTCTAAAGCTGTCTCTGCAGGGAAATTCACGCACTTCATTGAAACACTTTGCCGATGATACGAATGGTCCCTTGTCTCCAATGTCACTTCCAGCACCAAAGCAGCTCAAATTCACACCAGGGGTAGTTAATGGGTCAGTTAGAGAGTCAGTGACATTTGAAAACCAGACAAGAAAGGTAATTCCTTTGCTCCATTCATGTGGTCTCGGTTGATTTGTGACACCCGTCTTGCTAAGAAGGTAGAAATTGCTGTCGCTGCAGATGGTCCCAATCGGACAATTGTCAATGAAGAAGCTAGCTACTGTCGGGCAGGCTGGAAAACTATGGAGATGGAAGAGAAGCCATCATCAGTGGCTGCTGCAGTTCAAGTGGAAGTGGCAAAAGCCATGGAGACTCTCAGAATGGATTAAGCATAGCGACGAGACCATAATTAAGTCAAGGCCTCGTGCGCAGCTCCAATTGATATGATGCAATAACCTCGTGTTCGATCGGAGATCTTCACTGTACATACATTTTAGTGGCCATGTATGATGACTCGACGAAGATGCATATGGTTTGAGGTAATAGTCTAGCTATTGTTATGAGAAAATTTTCAACTTTAAGAGATCGAACAGAGAATTTTCTCGACCGTTTTCTTTCCTCGTGGGACAAGTATCCATGACGAGTTTTGCATTCTCTCCCCTGAATGTCTGCAGGTGTGCTGTAAAACAGTAGAGAAGGATCTTGATTCATTCCACGGGAGTGTTGCTGAAGCATGACAAACGGGGAGCTCCCGCAGCGATATATCAGGAGGAGCACCTTATTTGTGCAGGCATTCTCACTGATCTTTTATAAGGCAGCAGATAATTGGTGATTTTGGAGCATTGCTGCATCTGTGAAAGAAGAAATACTAGATGATGCAAAACATATGGTGTTATTCCTTTTCTCCTTTTTTTTTTTTTTTTTTGTACATCTTCATTAGTTAAATGGAAGAATGGAACACATTTTGCTTAATTCATTAGTAGTAATACCATCTAGATTCTTTTGTATGTACCCTATTATTATGCCTTCTATTCTAGCAGAATCTGGTTTTCAGTCCTTAAGAGCTGTACCATCTATTTGGGCCTTCTCTCCACGTAATATGTTGTGTTGAGTCCGACTTGGACAAATGAGTTGCATTCGGCGACAGATTGACGCAGCGGAAGCGTAGGGAAAATCTTGCAATCCGTTGATTCGCGCGGAATACCGGAAGAGAAAGCGCGAGAAGAAGATAGAAACAAGAAACTAATCTTATCTTTGAAGATAGAAAATAGGAAACTAATTTAAAAATAGAGTCTAATCCTACTTTGAAGACAGAAACAAGAAACTAATCCTATCTTTGAAGATAAAGAGAAACAAAATAAATATTCGAAATTTGAAACAACTCATAATATCAGCATATCTTGAAAATCTAGAATCTACCGCAATTCTCGGAACAGGAAAAGATTACGCGCTGAATCACAGATTAATGGCTTTTTTAAATGAGGGGAAAAAAAACAGAGAGAAATTTCTCCACGGACAAAATTCATGTAAATCATTGACCTACTTTTGAGACTAAACCAATGGTTTAAAGAGGGAAAATAAAAGGATAATATTAAGGATTGTAATTTTTTAATTCCCAACTAAGCATATGAGTTGCCAAATCTTTTTTTTTTTTTTTTTGATGGACCAAATATTCTATTGATAATTGTATAAAGAATTATCACCTCAATTAGTATATAAAATTACATGTAATAAAAACAAAAATGGCAACTAAAGTTGGTATCAAAATGATTGATTATTCTCATCAGTACTCCTCAACTCTAACTTTGTTCATGAATTTTAATAACTCTTATTTTATTCTTGAACTTCGAATTAGTCACATTTAAAGGTTGACGCCATTTGTTAATTTTTTTTTTTAAAAAAAAACAAACAGAAAAAGAAGGCATAAATGAGGAAATGTGGTCTTTTTTTTTTGTTGGATTAAGTTGGAGTCAGTAAGTGGCCCCGTTCATTTCGCCGATTCGAGTTTAGAATTTAAGTTTTGCTACAATTAAAAGCTCTCAGAAATAGTCACATCTAACTTTTTTGCTACAGTAAAAAGCTCTCACACAAAATCACATCTCAACTCGAATTACAAACTCGAATCAGCGAAGTGAACGGGTAATTCAGGCCCCGTTCATTTCGCTGATTCGAGTTTAGAATTCGAGTTTTGCTACAGTAAAAAGCTCTAAAAAACAGTCACATCTAACTTTTTTACTACAGTGAAAAGCTCTCATACAACATCACATCTCAACTCGAATTAAAAACTCGAATTAGCGAACTGAACAGTTTTAAAAACAAGGTAAAGATTTTTAAAGTTTAAGAGATAAAATAAGAATGATTCTAAAATGAAAAGACATTAATGACAATAATCCAAAAAGTTAGGACGACTCATTCACGAAAACATATCCAACAAACCAACTAATTCAGTTTGTTTTGTTTTTTTGGAAAAAATTCAGAGCATCTGCAAACCAACAATTCTGAACACACAACAAGTAGCGCAAGGAACCATTTAAAAGGACTCCCACATATTACATAACACGGGAAACCTATAAAAGGAGCAGAAAAGAAGCCTAGTAGCCTCAAAATTGTGGTACAATCTGGGAAATTAATAACTTCATTAATTGGTTTCACGGACATGCTGTGATGTCTCAGTTTTTGCAGGCATTTACACCTGAATTCAGTCCCTGAATCTTTCCTTCTTGTCCAAACAGCAACAAGCCAAAAAAAAAAACAAGCATGGCACTTTACACAGCCGCCTTTTTTTCTCTCACTTGGGGAAACTACCTTATCCCTTTGTCAAATTGTCTGTCACATTGCAAATCTGTCGTGTACAATATTCTCATCTTAGCTTTAGAAGAAACTGGGAAAAACATATAAAACAGCCGCCAATGTCCAACACCATCTACATCCATGCCGTTTAGGCAAAACATCAATTAATTCAGCAACAAGCACCACTGGCAACTGCCAAATTTCTGAACATTTTATTCCTAGTTGTCGCCAAAAACTCGGCACAAACCAATTTACCCATTTTATTCATAAGTTCGAATCACGATTCAATCATTTTTCTACAGTGATTTTTTTCACAAAAATTTAAATTTCACTTCAAGTTTTCCAGTTAAACCTATGAAAAGAACACCAACCTCATACAGGAAAAAGCCTTATATAGATCGTTACAATGGTTTGGTCGTGTAAACGGAATGAATCACAGGAAAAGAATTTCCTTAAGCTTGGCCATAAACAAGTTGTTCAAACTCAGCCCCACAGAAACTTGCTCATAAAAATGCTTATTTTCTCTTCGTTTAACACCTACCCAGATATACAATTGACGCCACCTCCCATAATTTTCTTCCCTGAATTCCAGTAACTATGAATATCCAGCGTATGAATTGTGATCAGTCATAACACTCTCTTTAATCTCCTGTATCATCTTCAAAACTTGCCACATTGCCGGCCTCTGTTCCGGCGACGTCAAACTACAAATACAAGCAACCTCAGTAAGCATTCGGAGCTGACCATCTTCCCCAACATCATCTTCCCTCGTGGCTCTGACCCAGTCCGGCACGCCTGTGGGCAAAAGGAACGGGTGTTGCGATGGGTGTTTACTTGTCAAGAGCTCCAACAACAGGATGCCAAAAGCGTAGACATCAGACTTGGCGGTGGCCCGACGGTTAGATTTTCGGGTTTCGGGTGCTTTGTACCCCGCAGAGTCGGGATCATCATTAGCAGACGTGTCTGCTAGGATTGCAAGGCTATAGTCCGTAAGGCAAGCCTCAAAGTCGCTTCCCAAAAGGACATTGCTTGATTTAAGGTTTCCATGGATTAGCCTCGACACTTGGTGGATATATGCAAGCCCTTGTGCAACATCTTCGGCTATCTTTAGGCATGAAGTCCAATGAAGAGGCTTTGCTCTTGTTGATCTCGAACCTGTTCCAAGAAATTGCAATTCGTTAGATGTAGTAGAACCAAAAGAAAAAAGAAAACAAAAAACCTTTTTTTAGGAGAGATTCTCTGAGTATATCATATTTTTTTAACCGTTAAATCTGTGTATTTTTTAATTTTTATGTGATTTTATGTAGATCCGACAGACATATAACTTAAGCTACCTTAAGCTACCTTACTCCTAGTTAAGATCGAACTCGCAACCTCTCCATCTTAACCCCACCTTTACCAAATCCACGATGCCACTAGACCATAGTTCATAAGTTCGATTCAATCATTTTTTTACAGTATTTTCTCTCACAAAAATTCAAATTTCACTTCAAGTTTTCCAGTTAAACCAATGAAAAGAACACCAACCTCATACAGAAAAAAAGCCTTATATAGATCGTTACAATGGTTTGGTCGTGTAAACGGAATGAATCACAGGAAAAGAATTCCTTAAGCTTGGCCATAAACAAGTTGTTCAAACTCAGCCCCACAGAAACTTGCTCATAAAAATGCTTATTTTCTCTTCGTTTAACACCTACCCAGATATACAATTGACGCCACCTCCCATAATTTTCTTCCCTGAATTCCAGTAACTATGAATATCCAGCGTATGAATTGTGATCAGTCATAACACTCTCTTTAATCTCCTGTATCATCTTCAAAACTTGCCACATTGCCGGCCTCTGTTCCGGCGACGTCAAACTACAAATACAAGCAACCTCAGTAAGCATTCGGAGCTGACCATCTTCCCCAACATCATCTTCCCTCGTGGCTCTGACCCAGTCCGGCACGTCTGTGGGCAAGAGGAACGGGTGTTGCGATGGGTGTTTACTTGTCAAGAGCTCCAACAAGAGGATGCCAAAAGCGTAGACATCAGACTTGGCAGTGGCCCGACGGTTAGATTTTCGGGTTTCGGGTGCTTTGTACCCTGCAGAGTCGGGATCATCATTAGCAGACGTGTCTGCAAGGATTGCAAGGCTATAGTCCGTAAGGCAAGCCTCAAAGTCGCTCCCCAAAAGGACATTGCTTGATTTAAGGTTTCCATGGATTAGCCTCGACACTTGGTGGATATATGCAAGCCCTTGTGCAACATCTTCTGCTATCTTTAAGCATGAAGTCCAATGAAGAGGCTTTGCTCTTGTTGATCTCGAACCTGTTCCAAGAAATTGCAATTCGTTAGATGTAGAACCAAAAGAAAAAAGAAAACAAAAAACCTTTTTTTAGGAGAGATTCTCTTAGTATATCAGATTTTTTTTAACTGTTAAATCTGTATATTTTTTAATTTTATGTGATTTTATATAGATCCGACAGATAGATAACTTAAGCTACCGTTATGTTAACGTAACGTACCGGAAAAGATTTTTATTTTATTTTATTTTAGGTAGACCCACCTTACTCCTAGTTAAGATCGAACTCGCAACCTCTCCATCTTAACCCCACCTTTACCAAATCCACGATGCCACTAGACCATAGTTCAAAATTCATACCTATGGCTAGGTTGTGTTTCACAACAAAATTTGGGGCATGTGATTCAATAATTAGCCAACACAAATCATAGATTCATTATTTAGACATCGTAGCGCTAAAAATTGTAGCCCCTTTTAACTATTTAAATTTTGCTAGGCACATGATCGATTTTGTCACCAACAATTTAAGAGTTAGGGACTCAATTACTAAAATTACAAACCAATTTACTAAATTTTTAAGTAATAACAAAACAACACGTTGACTCACCATGAATGAGATTGAAGAGGCTTCCATTGGGTTGGTAATCATAGATGACGAGCCTCTCTCCCTTGGCCTGAAAATAAGCCCTTATTAGAACCAAATTTGGGTGTCGAAGCCTACCCACCGCCTCCATATGCCTCTCGAACCCGTCGCCTCCGGTCACCGCCGTCTTCCCGGCGTCGAGCCGCTTCACCGTCACGATAAGCTGATTATCCAGCACCGCCTTGTACGTCGTCCCGATCGTCCCTCTCCCGAGCAGCTCCGCCGACGCCCTCATCAGCTGCTCCAAGCCGTACAGCTGAGACTCCCCTGCGCAGAACACCAAATCCCCGCTCTGGTGAACTCGGCGACTTTCTTCAATCGCCTTCGTATCCGATTCGTTAATTTCTCCAATTCGCGTTTCCGAAGCAGTGTAATTGTTGTTGTTATTGACGCTATTACTTTCTGCCGTCTCGGTGAACTCCATTGCCGGTTTCGGAGCTCGGTTTTGGGAAGTTAGGGTTCTGATCACAGTAAACATGCACAGGAAGGCCGTGATTAGGATCGCTACGGCTATCGAAATCCCTAGAATTAGTCCAGTCTTCTTGTGATTTTTCGGAGACGGCGGAGACAGAACCACGCTCTGCGATTCCGCGCTCTGAACCAGCGGCTGAGACGACGGCGGACCGGTCACGTTCGGCGAGTCGAAGAACGGAGCCGGCGAGCTGCACGCCTTGTTGAGGACCTCGCCGCAAAGGCCGGGGTTCCACAGAAACGACGACGCTCCAAACCGCGAGAGCGACGGCGTGACCGGAACGGCTCCGGTGAGGTTGTTACGGGAGACGTTGAAGACAAAGAGCAAGGACTGGTTAAGCGGCGGGAGAGTTCCGTTAAAACGGTTCCACTGGAGTCGGAGCGAGTTGAGCCGGTCGAGGGCCGTGATCCCAGCCGGAATCGGACCGGAGAAGTTGTTGAAGGAGAGATCAAGGGTGAGAAGGCGGTGGAGGGTGAGAATCGACGGCGGAAAAGCGCCGGAAAAAGAGTTGCGATCAAGAAAAAGGGATTTGAGGTTGACGAGAGGGGAGAGGTCGGGGATGGGGCCGGAGAGCGAGTTGTTGTTGAGGCTGAGGACTCGGAGCTGGTCGAGGCGAGTGAGCGAGTCGGGAGGGAAGACGCCGCGGAGGCCATAGCCTTGAAGGACGAGGCGGACGACGCGGCCCTGGGCGCACTTGACGCCCCGCCATTGGCAGTAGTCGAAGCGCTCGTTGAGGACGTAGAGGAGCTTGTTGTCGAGGTCGGCCTTGGACTTGAAGGTGATCAGCGAAACGGCGTCGGATGGCCGGAGGAGGCTCTCTAGCGGCGGAGTAAGGAATCCTGCGGCGGCGGCGGCGAGAAGGGTGGGGAGAGTGAGAGTGAGAGTAAGGAAGAGAAGCGCGTGGGTTAAGGGCATTGTGTTGGGAAGGGGTGGTTTGTGATTGTCGCGGTGGGGGTTTGGTGCATTTCCTTCTCTTTTTTGTGGGTTTTGTTTGCTGGTTTCAGTACTCTGGAGGAGTAGAGTAGAGTGGTCGGTGGAGAAGTGATGTGCAGTGGTGACTAAAAAGGATGTAGACAATGGAGGGAGTTCTGTTTGGAAGGAGAGAAAATAAGAAAAGTGTGAAAGTGAGGTCTGAGGTGTTTTTATTTTTTATTTTTATTTTTTTTTGGAAAAAATCTATGAATGGTCCTTGAATTCTTTTCTCTCTTATTTTATTTTTTTTTTTTGGAAAAAATCTATGAATGGCCCTTGAATTCTTTTCTCTCTTTAGAATTAGTCCATATTGTTAATTTTATTTCATAAACAGTCTTTAAAATCTCATAAATAATCTCTATTGTTAAATTTTAAATGAAAACCGTTAATTTTATCTTATAAAATGTCCTCAAACTATCTTCTCTCCCTATAAATGGTCCATGTATTAAAAGTTGTACTAAATTAAGTTCTAAAACTGAAAAAAAACAAAAATAATTCCTTTGTTAATAAATAGATGAAAAATATTAAATATGAGAAGCTGTATTGTATGCTACTGTTCCTAAACTTAAAAAAAAAATGCCAAAATTATTTTTTTTGCTACATACATTTTTTCCAATTTTTGTTTATCAATTCCACATATGTGACTTTGATCAAAAAAATTTTAGTGATTATGTTGCCCTACGATATTAAAAATGTTCTAAAATTATTACTCTATGATAATACAACAACAACAAGTTTTAATCCCAATTTAATTAGAGTCGGCTATATAAATTTCACTTTTTCACGCAGCTCTGTTCGAAATTAAATTTTCCTGAAGGCCTAGATCTAGAATGTCTTTCCTAACTACTTCGGTCCATGTAATTCTTTGTCTACCCCTCCCTCTCCTAGTATTAGGTATAAGAATATCCTCTCAAGCACGAACTAGTGCTTCTAGCAATTTATGTTGGATGTGTCCGTACAACCTCAAGCAGTAATGATCTCTAAAAATATATTTTTTATAAACATCTTTTGTATCATATTCATTATAACTGTGCACGAAAATACATATAAATTAGTAGGGGTACGTGTCTTCACTGAACAATTTAAAACATGCATGCATATTTAAATTAATGTCAATATTATTCTATTTTAAAAACATATAATTAAAAAAACAAACAATTTTATACACGCACTGTACAAATCCTAATTAAATTTCTCAACTTTTTTTATAAGAAATATTGTGAGGAGTTATAGGCAATTTTTCATTTCTTAAACGATTATTATATCATCAACAAAAATGCAAGCAAACCCAAAAAAAAAAGTTCCCTAAAGAAAAAATAAAAGCAATTAATTGCAAATTGCAATCTACTATACACCAAAGCGTACAGTGCAATTATTATATATTATTTTATGTATGGTAATTAAAAACAAAATTATCTTTGTTCATGTGGAGCTATATAAAAGCTTAACGAGTGTAAATAGAATTATTCTTTTTTTTTTTTCAATTTAGGGGCTACATATTTACAACTACTTATAATAAACATATGAACTAAGTTTAACATATTATTATAATTTTTTTAGTTTAGAAACTAAATTTAGTATAACTTCTAATAAAGGGATCATTTACAGAGAAATTAGATAGTGCGGGAACTTTTTATGAGATGCAGTACGATTTTTATTTAAAATTTAATAAATGGATTATTTATGAGACTTTTTTAGAGTTTAAAAATTGTTTTAGAGACAAAGGGTGTGTTAAAAAAGGAAACTCGAGTTCTAACTTTATTTAAGTTCATATTCTTTTAAGTTTGAATTCCAGTTTTGAACTAAAATTCGAGTTTAAGTTACTCATTCAACTCGAGTTTAAAAACTTGAACTCAAATTAATGAATATTATTTTTTTCTATTCTTAAAAATGTTATAATTTTTTCGTTTTATTCCTAATTGAGATGATTTTTTTTATGCGTTGATAACGAAAAGATAAATAAAACTCCACTCATATACCCAATTAAAATTTTTCATCACCATTGAATTTTTATTAAAATACTATCTAAATATAAATTTAAGTTTTTGCTCACTCAAATACAACTCAAAAAGATTCTTATCTCAAATCATAACTCAAATATACGCAATTAAACACAAACTCAAATTATAATTTTAACTCAAATTATAACTTAAATTTGACTCAAAAATTACACTCAAATTACACTCGAAAAGAACGTACCAAAATTATAGATTTATTCCTTTTTTCTTTTTAATGTGTGTTTGCGGAGCAGCTGGCTTTCTAGTTTATGTACTGGTTCGCACGTGAAAGTGGGGAATGGGAGAAAATGTTGGCAGGCGTAACTTCTTCAACTCCACACTCTCTCTCTTGGCGCGTGATTTTTCATTCGCAATTTTTAATAATATATTTTTAATATATGATGTATAAAAAAATACTTAGTAGGACACTCTTTAATAGCTCAGATTTTTGTTAAATAGTTATTTTTATTAAATCTATTATGTTCTTGGTTTAAGCTTATAACTAAAAAATGTATCTAAGTTATATTTTTAGAAATTATATTTTATCAGTAAGTATTTGTTCAAAATCTAACGTCCAATATTTTTTAATATTAAAGTGTCATTCATTTTACAAGTTCAAATTGTATTATTTAAATTATTAGGTTTAAATTATTAGGTTTGAATGTATATGTAGATTGTACTTACGTTTAGTAGTATAAAATTAAAGTAAAGGATAAAATATCACATCAAAAAATAAAAATTTAAATTAGTGTTTAGTTAGTGTTATAATTGTGAGTAAATTATAAATAGAATCATGATTTTAATCACAACACTATAATTAATGGGTTCAAACGCATGAGAACTCACGGGGGGTTAAGTTCTCTAAAGACCAGAAGTTTAGGCTCTCAAGGGTTCTCAACCAAGTCTAGATTCGAAATTTTAACAACTAAATATGACTTTAAAACTAAGGCCTCGTTCGTTTCGCTGATTCGAGTTTAAAATTCGAGTTGAGATGTGATTTTATGTGAGAGCTTTTTACTGTAGTAAAAAAATTAGATGTGACTGTTTGTGAGAGCTTTTTACTGTAATAAAACTCGAATCAGTGAAACGAACGAGACCTAAATAATGAGTTTAAACTCACTTGAACCCTTCAACAAACGGTCATAAAACACCACTATGTACTTGAATTTTGTCAGCTTATGAGTATTAATAGGGATGTGTTTCCTAATAACATGGTTTAAAAATCATAAAAGAAAAATAAAAAACAAACAAACAAAAAAGAATAAAATGGTTGTTAAATGTCGTTTGACCGACAAAAGACATGGGATTGAGCCGATTAGGATCTAACAACGAATTCATGTGGAGATTACATCACACGCGACGTAATGTGCGTACCTAACATAACATTAACATCCGTAATGTGCATGAAATTCCGCCGGTAGAAGCTCAAGTTACACTCTTTGACCTTTGTGTACCCGTTGTCGTTCAGTGGTCAAACGTCCTGACATTTCTTCACACTTCTTAATGCTCGTGCCTGAATTATTTTTAAGTTTACTTGTACGGTGTTTCTTTCTTTCATTCGTTGATCCACTTCACGAGTTTAAGCCGTTAACGACTCTCGAGCCGTGGGACTTCTCAGTTATTTGTCTGTTTAACCTTTTTAACGTACCAAATTCAAAACGGAAATAGTAAAAAATAGTAGGTTAATATAAAAAGTTTAAGAAAGTATATAAATTAATTTTTAGTTATAAAAATTAATAAGTTATAATTTATTAAGTTATAATTCATAATTATATAAGTTATGGATAAACTTGTTAAGTTATGGTTTATAGTCAGATAAATTATGAATAAAAATCGTGAATTATAAATAATAACTTGTCAAATTATAATTCATAATAAGATAATTTATAGATAAATTATTGATCAGCCCACTTTTTAGGCTTCTTTTGATGATTCAATGGCTTTGGTAGTAATCGATGCGAGCTTTAGGTACACGCCAAGTTCACTCGAAATCTCTGGCCTTTAATAAGTGTTATTATCCCAAGTAGCTTATAAATGTTCCAAATTGAATGTATAATAGGCTATCAATTGTTTCCTCACAAAAAAAAAAAAATATATATATATATAGTAGTAATCGATGCGAGCTTTAGGTACACGCCAAGTTCACTCGAAATCTCTGGCCTTTAATAAGTGTTATTATCCCAAGTAGCTTATAAATGTTCCAAATTGAATGTATAATAGGCTATCAATTGTTTCCTCACAAAAAAAAAAAAATAGTAATCATCACACGTTTGTAAAATAAAATAATAATAAAAAAAGAGTATGTGTTGGAGTATTGGCTTTCTTAACATCAATACTATGTTAATATTATATATGCTCTACCGTTGTGTGTCACTCACAGTTGCTCTAGGAGAGACGGAGGGTCTACTTATAAAACGCACTTTGCCGCTCAAGTTAAAGAAACAATCATGAGAGAGCGTAAAAGAAAATGTCTGTCTCGTTCATTTCGCAGATTTAAATTTTTAATTTAAGTTGAAATGTGACATTTTTTGAGAATTTTTTACTGTAGCAGAAAAAGTTAAATGTGACATTTTTTTAAGAGTTTTTTACAGTAAAAACTTAAAACTGAAAACTCGAATCGGTTAAATGAACGAGGCCACCCGAGTGTTCTATTTATAGTTGGGGATTCAATCAGTGAGATTTCTCATATCTATTCTAATACACACGCATCAACTGTCTAGGGTTTTAAAAATACTCGATGATTTTTCTTTTTATTAAATGGGAATTCTCTGATATTTCTTGACGATCCTTGTAAAATTAAGGACACGTGTTGTATTGTTACTCAATGGTTTAACTCCTTGATAATATTAATAATTAGATCACGCAATTTTAATTAACGGTTCTAATTATGTTGTTTGCATCAGCAGTACTATTTTGTTTTTTTCAGCAGCACTAATGACAGTATTTTTCTTTGTACTAGCTTTGTTAATGTGAGACTGCACTGTGGTTGGTAGGTTGCTTCTTCTTCCTTTCTTTGTCAATTAATTCTTTTTCCTTTTCTATGCCTTCAACATCTTTACACCCAAAATTGGGATCGATCTGCCTCATTTGTTCTAATCTGCCCTGTCGTAAAGATTGTGCTTTCTG